ACCGTCTCCTCATTGACTGCCTGATGCTTGTGAACACGTGGTTGGGGATTCTGCGCCATTGCTCTTGCAAGGCAGCACCAAGTTCCTGCAAATTCTGAGGTTGGTTCCTAAGACCACGAAGCCTTCTCCCAAGTGCATCCCAAACGTGCTCTATTGGATTAAGGTCAGGGGACCTCGATGGCCAGTCCATGACGTTGATTCCAGCGTTTTGAAGGAAATTTCGTGTAAACATCGCGGTATGCGGCCGAGCATTATCATGCTGGAACTGTAGACCTGGGCCATGAGCCGCCATGAAAGGAACGAGTTCAGGGATGAGCACCTGGTCGCGGTAAGCAGCAGCTGTGAGGTTTCCATGGATGACCAGAAGTCGGGAACGGTTGTTCCCACAGAAAGCACCCCACACCATGCAACTTCCGCCCCCGAATCTGTCGACATCCTGTACACAACATTGGGCATACCGTTCACGACGTCGTCTCCAGACTCTATGCCTGCCGTCCGCGAATCTGACGGTAAACCTGGATTCATCGCTAAAGACGACTCGATTCCAGTCTCTCTGGGTCCATCGGAGGTGACGTTGGGCCCACAGCAGACGTTGACGTTGATTAAACGGCGTCAATATTGGCCCACGATATGGACGTCGAGAATGGAGATTGGCAGCCCGCAACCGATTTCGAATCGTCTGTGAGGACAGTCTACCTCTAAACACCCAGCCCTGGTTCGTGTAGCCGGCAGAAATCTGTCACGTAGGTGACGTAGGACGATTTGACGGTCTTCTGCTCGTGACGTCACACGTGGACGACCCGACCTTGGGCGATCAGAAGTGGTGCCAGTTTGTTGTAGACGACCTCGCAAGTCATACACAGTACGACGGCTGCATCCCATTGCTCTTGCGACGTCAATAACTGATCTTCCCGCTTGCAACATGCCAACGGCACGTTCACGTTGCACATTTGACAATCGTGGCATTTCAAGTACCGTTAGAACTGTGGTTTAAAAGTGTTTTTTTTCAATTCTTGAGGCCAATGCAAACACGTGCATATGAATAAAACTTCGATGCGAAGATCACGTGATCAACTGCACGTGCAAAACCTGATTTAGTACTAACGTCATTTGCATGACGATTGGATGGGATTGAGCGGGTTTTGCTAACGTTTTTCTACAGTCGAAAGATAGGGATCCCATTTCGGATACATAGATGCATCATCAGAGAAAAATTATTCATTATTTTTCAAATTACATTTTGTGAAGTTTCTTTTTTGACCCAGTATATGTACATCAACCCCATCCATTGTAAAAACATCCACCTGGCTTCCTATCAGTTGTATCAGCTCTAATTCGGTCCTTGTATGTCACCCTACTGGCTTCCTATGAACTTACTCAATCTCTTCTACAAACGTTGTACATCAACCTCATTTATTGTATAAACAACTCATTCCCTATCTACTGTAATAACAACTCATGTATGTATTTTCTCAATTTGTTACTCATATATCACTTGTTTGACAACGCCATTAGAATCTATGTCGAAACGTCGCCTATATACAATAAAAGAAGTTGTATAATCATAATAATTGTCATTATTCTTCATCAACTCAACTTCTAAAATGCCCATCAAAGAATTCATTTTATGAGTTATGAATAATTTTTAATATCACGATTAAACTTTCATTTACATACTGAATGTAATGTAATTGTTTTTTCCATTTAAAAATAACGCCATCTATTGATTGTTGCATATTACTTTACATATAGTGTCTATAAATATATTTTTATCATTTCAGAATATCTAGATACACATGTAACATTTTCAGCTTCGGTATTAAAGAAAATCCAGAGCTTACAGGGTTTTTTATGACAGGAATGTCTTGTCCAAATCGGGGCGGTCGGGTAGCCTAGTGGTTAAAGCGTTGGCTTGTCACGCCGAAGACCCGGGTTCGAATCCCCACATGGGTACAATGTATGAAGCCCATTTCTGGTGTCCCCCGCCCCGATGTTGCTGGAATATTGCCGAAAACGGCATAAAACCAATGTCAGTCAGTCACTCAGTCTTGTCCAAATCCAGAAATTATTTTGTGCATTTTTATTTTGTGATTGACTGATGATTAAACTTCAACTTACCCGTTAAACATCATTGAAAACGCACCATTTATAAAAGTTCAGATTATTAAAAGCATGTGTAAGGAATTGATATTTTTTCGGTGGATAATAACAGATGGACGACTGACAAAAACAGCACAGAAAAGACGCTCATTCATTGAAATGTTCCACAGTCAGAAAGGATCAAACACACGTGGGGTCAAATCGAAAAGTCAATGTCGCGTGTGACCGCCATTTACATTGACACATGCAGTTCAACGTCTCCTCATTGAGTCAATAAGCGTCCAAATAGAGTTCTTGAGGACAACATTCCACTTCTGCAGTAGTGCAGCCTCAAGTTCCCGGATGTTTCGCATCTGTTGTTGCCGCGAAAGACTTTGACCAATTTCGTCCCACAATTGCTCCATGGGGGATACACCTCGCGACTGTGCTGGCCAATGAATAACCTGGATCTGTTGCTGGGCCAGATACTGCATGGAGAGTCTTGTTGTGTGTGCCCGTGCTTTGTCCCGTTGAAAAGTATGGACATCTTGGTGGTGATTGAAGACAGATACGATGTGATTCTGAAGAATCTGTTCACGGTAATAAAGGGCATTAACTCTCCCTTGACAGACATGAAGGCAGTCCTGTGATTGTAATTTAATTCCACCCCAGACCATGACACTCCCACCATCCAAAGGTGTGTCTGAACCACACACTCATCAGCATAACGTTCACCACGATTACGCCAAACACGTAATCGGCCGTCAGCATTACGTAGATGAAAACGTGACTCGTCAGTGACTACCACACCATGCCATTGTTGTAACATTCACTGAAAATGCCTGCTAGCCCATTGTATACGCTCATTACAGTGTCTGTCAGTCAGAATTGCTCCAACGTAAGGACGTCGAGCATGTAGACGGCGTCGCATGGAGTCAGCGCTAATGACCCCCAGTGTTCAATCACTGATATGGACAAGGTCAATATGGCGATCCTGATGGAGCGTCGTAACACGTTGTTGCCAAGGTCATGCTGCCTGTCTACTGATGTCGTCTATGAAGCCTAACGGTGGTGAAGTGGCCAAGTCCAAGTTGTCGAGCAATATCCCTGCTGCTGGTGCCAACCTGAATTATGCCAAGTGCACGTTCTCTTTCGTGAGGTGTTAACCTCGGCATCTCTCTCCTCGTGTCACAATCGTTAGTGAAGCAATGAGAATCGGTTCTCATACACCTGCTTTTAATATCACAGTCAGTATGATTTCAGAATGAAATTCGCGCTTTTTTTTGTGGCGTGGCTGCATGTTGATGCATTTTGGAATTAAGAACAATACTGTGGACAGTAATTTGTTTCTAAAGCATTTTTTCAACTGGACATGCCCCTCGACTTCATGTTAGTTATATTCATTGATCATTGTAATGCTGAAATCCATCTTGATGAAAATATGGACAATTTTAGACTGGTGCGTTTTCAGTGATGTTCAGTATATATAGAGAATCTCACCAGAGTGCCATTGATGGCAAATATATTACCACGAGTTGATAAAGTTACAAACATCCGAGGCATGTCGAGGATATTTTTACTTTTATAAACGAGTGTTGATATACATGTATTTGATATCAGAAGACACGAGGTTGAGATTCTAAGTATCATAAAAATTCACTCTTCATTAGTTTTCAATAAAAAAGTGTACATCTCTGAATATAGTTCTGCCATTAGACTTGCACAGTAACGATGTCATAGCATTGTGATGTCATCAGGTTTTTTACGTCATAGCATTGTTAGTCATGCATTGACGTCAGAGCATTGTATGAAAACTCATGTCAAAACGATATCTCCAAGCAGACATCGTTTGATCTCACACAGGCAATATCTCCGGTGGAACACATTTTTGGATAATAACTAATGTTATTACCTGCCAGTGGAAGATACTGCAGTGTAATATTTTACGGCATTAAAACGCATAAAATTAATATAAATAAGAATAAGAACAATTTAAAAGTTATAATTTACTTGTTTCAAAAGTGGTATTTACCAGAAAAAAGTGGTCATTACTAGATTCAAAAGTGGTAATTACCAGTTTCAAAAGTGGTAATTACTAGTTTCAAAAGTGGTAATTACCAGTTTCAAAAGTGGTATTTACCAGAAAAAAGTGGTAATTACTAGTTTCAAAAGTGGTAAATACCAGTTTCAAAAGTGGTATTTACCAGAAAAAAGTGGTTAATACCAATTTTTAAACAGAAAATTAAAAAAAAAATTGACCCCTCTGGGCTTTCGTATTTTGACCCACTGGGCTTTCGAAAATATTCTTTTGGAAGGGATGGGTGGTGAGTAAATCATACTTACTCACTTAACCGTTGGAATGTGGAAGATTCTAATCAGGCTAGCTATTCTCGAAACGTTGGTAGCCCTACGAACTTCTTAAGCCCATTCTTAACACATTAACACAATCAAAGTTAAGAATTCTTAGGGCTACGAACGTTTCGAGAATAGGGGCCCAGACATTCTTAGCAAATGTAAATGCAGGTTAATGGTAAGTTCAAATGTATTAAGAATCAATATCGATACCGTATTGTGATTCTTGTACAAAAGAAAAGATTAAATAAAATAGATGCATACTTTGGTATGTCGAGGAAACAAGTGTGCCGTGGTTCCCCCACTTCCTACATTTCCACTGCACTTCATAGACCAAAGACATTCCACAAAATTAAATGATCTGTTGACTTTTCCTTCATTTTCAAGTTTCCTGAGTTTCCAAGGTAATTCTTCTACAGATGTACGGAATAAGTCCAAATTCGGAGATTATTTGAACAGCACAATATATATTTAGACTGCTATGTGATATCATCGAGCATATTTACAGATGAGATGGTACAGAAGAGAAAAATACTTCTCAAGCCTGCAAGAAGGGTAACGTTGGACGAATGCAATGGGACTTGACTCAAGACCAAGGAGATATCGACAGTAGGCAGGGTGAGATTGGCAGAGCGCAGCAAGCCTTGTCTCAAGGTGAAGGAGACTCTATCGGGGCTCACGGGATGACACCTGTGTTGTTTGCAGCTCGCGAAGGATATAAAGATGTGTTTGACTTCTGCGTATGTGCAGGAGGTAATGTGTCAGTAGTTGATTCTCACGGAAACAACATCCTTCATTTGGCAAGCCTTGGAGGTCACATGCCAATGGTGAAGTACCTCGTCTCACAGAATATCACTGCCATCAACAGCAGGGGTATATCCGGGAGGACACCAGTGATGTTGGCGGCTGCCAACGGATACAGATACCTATTTGACTTTTTGGTGAGTAAAGGAGGCGAAGCTTCACTTGTAGATGCAAATGGCAAAAGCGTTCTACATCTGGCCAGTTTGGGAGGACATTTGGACATGGTGAAGTACATCCTCTCTCAGAATTTTGTTGACATCAAAGGTAAAGAAATATACGGGCGGACACCCTTGATGTCAGCAGCTATTGGGGGACACTTGGACGTGTTCCGCGTCCTCATGAGTGAGGGATCTAATGCATCACTTGTGGATGGATCAGGGAACAACATCCTACATCTGGCCAGCTTAAATGGACATTTGGACATGGTGAAGTACATCCTCTCTCAGAATATTGTGGATATCAATGTTAGAGGAATATATGAGTGGACACCGTTGATGTCAGCAGCTACTGGAGGACATTTAGACGTGTTCCGCTTCCTCATGAGTGAGGGATCTAATGCATCACTTGTGGATGGATCTGGGAACAACATCCTACATCTGGCCAGCTTAAATGGACAATTGGACATGGTGAAGCACATCGTCTCACAGAATATTGTGGATATCAATGTTAGAGGAAGATATGCGTGGACACCGTTGATGTCAGCAGCTAAACGTGGACATTTAGACGTGTTCCGCTTCCTCATGAGTGAGGGATCTAATGCATCACTTGTGGATGGATCTGGGAACAACATCCTACATCTGGCCAGCTTAAATGGACAATTGGACATGGTGAAGCACATCGTCTCACAGAATATTGTGGATATCAATGTTAGAGGAAGATATGCGTGTACACCGTTGATGTCAGCAGCTACTGGAGGACATTTAGACGTGTTCCGCTTCCTCATGAGTGAGGGATCTAATGCATCACTTGTGGATGGATCTGGGAACAACATCCTACATCTGACCAGCTTAAATGGACAATTGGACATGGTGAAGCACATCGTCTCGCAGAATATTGTGGATATCAATGTTAGAGGAAGATATGCGTGTACACCGTTGATGGTAGCAGCTAAACGTGGATATGTAGACGTGTTCCGCTTCCTCATGAGTGAGGGATCTAAAGCATCACTTGTGGATGGATCTGGGAACAACATCCTACATCTGGCCAGCTTAAATGGACAATTGGACATGGTGAAGCACATCGTCTCACAGAATATTGTGGATATCAATGTTAGAGGAAGATATGCGTGTACACCGTTGATGTCAGCAGCTACTGGAGGACATTTAGACGTGTTCCGCTTCCTCATGAGTGAGGGATCTAATGCATCACTTGTGGATGGATCTGGGAACAACATCCTACATCTGACCAGCTTAAATGGACAATTGGACATGGTGAAGCACATCGTCTCGCAGAATATTGTGGATATCAATGTTAGAGGAAGATATGCGTGTACACCGTTGATGGTAGCAGCTAAACGTGGATATGTAGACGTGTTCCGCTTCCTCATGAGTGAGGGATCTAAAGCATCACTTGCGGATGCATCTGGGGACAACACCCTACATCTGGCAAGCCGAAGTGGACATGTAGACATTGTGGGGTGTATTCTCTCACAGAACATTACTGACATCAACAGCAGAGGGAGTTTTGAGAGAACACCATTAATATTTGCAGCAAGTTCGGGACATAGAGATGTGTTTGACTTGCTTACCAAAAGAGGAGCTAATGTGCATTTAGTCGATCGTTCAAAGTCCAACATCCTTCATGTCGCCTGTATCTCTGGAAAAGTGAAGATGGTGAAGCATATTATTTCTAAACATATTGTGGAAATTAACAGTAGAGGGAATGAGGGGAGAACAGTATTGATGATGGCTGCAGAAAAGGGAAATATTGAACTGGTGCAATTCATTGTCAAAGAAGGAGGTAATATGCTGTTGACCGATGATGATGAAGAAAACATGCTTCACATTGCCTGCCACGGAGGTCATGTAGAGATGGTGAAGTACATCCTTCAGGAAAGTACTGTGGATCTGGAGGCCACAAACAAGTACGGCTCGACACCACAGAAGGTGGCACGGGAGAAAAACAACAAGGAAGTTCTTAACTACCTTAAGGGAGTAGGTGAGAGGAATGGGTAGGAAATGGTAGCTTATTATGTATATGTGGTTGTTGTTGTTTTTTTGTTTTTGTTTGTTGTTGTTGTTTTTTCATCTGAGTTAAAGGATATAGAAATGTTGTCACTCATTTTCCGAAATAATTCATACGTGCATAACATAATTTCACATAAGAATGTGAAATCAGTAGCAAAATCACACAGCGTTCATATTATACACAAAGAACAAATCCAATCGAGATCCACCCGTACTCAAGCACACAGAATATCAAAAAATACTTGTCCCGATGATACAACTTGTGTCCAGAGTAAGTGAGTGAGTTTAGTTTTACGCCGCACTCAGCAATATTCCAGCTATATGGCGACGGTCTGTAAATACTCGAGTCTTAACCAGACAATCCAGTGATCACCAGCATCGATCTGCGCAATTGGGAACCAATCACACGTGTCAACCAAGTCAGCGAACCTGACCACCCGATCCCGTTAGTCGCCTCTTACGACAAGCATGGGTTACTAAAGTTCATTCTAACCCGGACCTTCACGGGTCTGATTACAAAGCTAGGATTAGAACATACATCCGTGATCTGATGCAAAAGAAGTGGGACACTCAAGTAGTTATCAATAAATTACATGAAATAAAACCCAATATCTGTTACACCTACTTGGGTTGTCAATCCAGATTTGAGGAGGTCAATCCAGACATCTTATTTTATTGATCTATAATATAACTATTATTTGTTCTCGTCACGATATGGCTGAAATATTGCCGATGTGACGTTACATATTAACTCACTCACTCACTACTGATGGGTCCAAGGATGGTGGCGCAGTTGTTTGTGCCACTGTCATTGGATCCAGAACAATATCGTGTAAGAATGCGGGATAACAGTTCTATTTTACAGCAGAATCCAATGCCATATTAACAGCACTGAAATATATTAATAAACACCCTAAATACAAACAATATATCATCATTTCGGACTCTCTTTCGTGCCATCAGCCTTGTAAAAATCTTTCTTGTAAACATCCACTATTAATAGAAATTATAGAATTATATACTGAACTTACTACTGGACAATGTGACACCGTCTTTTGTTGGTTACCCAGCCACGTTGGCATTTCTGGGAACACAATGGCCGATCTTGCTGCCAGGGCAGCAAATCTGTGACACCATTTCTGATCCCATACTCTGATTATAAAGCTGTTATTAGATCTTATATCCGTGATCTGATGCAAAAGAAGTGAGTGAGTGAGTATGGTTTTACGCCGCTTTTCGCAATATTCCAGCAACATTACGGCGGGGGACACCAGAAATTGGCTTCACACATTGTACCCATGTGGGGAATCGAGCCATGTTCTTCGGCTTGAGTAGCGAACGCTATGACCACTTGGCTATCCAACCGCTCCCAAAAGAAGTGAGACATCCAAGTAGGCTGTACCCTCAAAGAGGGTTGAAGTATTGTAAAATTATTGTCCTCCTGAGAGGGTACGTAAGTCCCAATACATTCATAGTAAATTTAAACTAGCTACTATTTTTATTCGTAGTATATATGTTATTTTAATGTATGGCTAGATTTATCTAAATTGCTAACAGCTAAGGGATGGTGTAAATCCAGCTTGGGCCCATTCAGGAAGCAAAAGTACTGTCCCCTTGGCCCCTAGCATGGTGATCTACCTTCAGTTGTTAGCAATCTGTAGCCTTTTTTGGTATTGTCTTGTCATCTGTAGTTAAAATGTTTTAGTGTTAATTACTAGTTTTAAATTGAAATCTGTGATAAACTATTTGTTTTACTGTCCTTCGCTGACAGTTTTCTTTTATAATCTACCTTTATTTGTTGTAAAATTATAACTTGTTTGTTGTCACGATATGGCTGAAATATTGCCGATGTGACTTAAAATCTTAACTCACTCATTGATTTGTTCATTGATCTGCAGTAGGTCGCATTTACAGCAAGCAAATTATATATATATACACACAAAGAACACAGTTAGGCACCCCCTGACACATCTCACGACTGAATGAGCCCCGGTCTTAACCCTTTGGAGCATGTCTGGGACACGACTGGTCGTCGTGTGCAACAAAGGGATCCTCCTGTACAGAACCTGGCCCAACTGGAATCTGCTGTACACGAGGATTGGCGCAGACTGTCCCTTCAGAGGATCAGGAGGCTGACATGGGGCATGGGGAGGAGAGTGCGGGCTGTCATACAGTCACATGGTGGTTACACTCGGTATTGACCTTGAATCGTGTAAGACACGCAAAATAACATTTTGAATGATCACTTTCACCAATAAATTCAACATTAAACTCCCCAGGGCCATACTTGTACAGAAATTATTTTTGTATGAAAATCGGTGAGTGATTTTATAACATGAGCAATTATCAGCATAATATCAACATGGATTCCAATCATTTTGTCTTTTGTTATGACTTAAAGGATCATACGGGTCAGAAAAATACATGTTTTGCCATCGTGGTCACCGTGAGAAGTTTTATGTACGTGTTGAAAACGTATCACTGCAAAAATACAGGGGGGGGGGGGGTGCTTAATTAAGTTATTTGTGTATATATTCTATACACATACGTTGGTTATTGACATGAAACCACTTACGGCACCCGACGGCCTCACTTCACGACATAATATATGTATTCACATATGTATATGCTCACATATGTCACGTTAGTTCAAAGACACAGCGTTCCGATAACAGTACGGTGGTGATGCGGCCAGATGCGGCCAGTAGAAGCTATGTGTGACAATCTGTACTTTTTCCTGACAAGACAAACAAAGTCCCCCCTTTCCCCTGCTGTTAGAACAGCAAATCAACGTGGCACGCCTCTTGTTATTGTTCTATTTTCGTGTTATCAGCTCAGCGTTCCCAATATACCAACCTTTACCTTAGCGAAGGTCTAAATTTGAAGTAGACTCTTATTAGTTGTTTGTTCTTGATGTTCGTGATATATGATTCTCTTTCCAGTGAAAACTTGAATGAAGCGTAGTGGGTAAGGAAACTTGAACTGTTTATCTCATGATGCCAGTTTTGGTGTGATATATCTTTGAGGCGCTGTTTTAAACATGATAAGAAATTATTTACATCTCCGACATCCTGTGCGATGTGCACCAGAAGCTACAATCAGTCTACACAGGCCCACTAACCATTTCCATGTCACAAAATAGTAATGTACAGCATCTAACAGCTATCTATCTCAATGAGATATTCAAAATAAGATCAATATGAAACTCAAATGTTTATGATCACGTGTAATTTAAATTGTATTTGTCAACTGTATCATAGGCCTTATGGCCCAAATACTACTGAATAAACTTCTCTCTCTCAACCTTTACCTTACTGTAACAACGAACGGGAATCAAGTGTCTGCGGTAAAATGAGAGATATGACAGACGTGGGAAATGGAAATGAACAAGTTTATTTTTCCGGGTAGTATACTCCCCGGGAAGCTGAGACTTGAATGAGGATTGATCCTTTTGAAAATTGAAAATTAAAGATCTGGACCAAGATTTCCATGCTCTCATAGCGCTAAGATAGTCGTAAGTTAATGTTAATGTATGGCACTTATGACCATCTTAACACTAGGAGAGCTTCGGAAATCTACGTTCTGAACGTTAGCATGCTTTGTTTGGAATAAGTGCAACAAATGGACACTTTACTTTTTATTATGTTTGTTACTGTGGTGGTTGTGGTGGTGCTGGCGACGTTCATGTCACTGTAAACGTCCTTCAAAAGACATATGTCAATTAGGAGATAAACGTACTGTGTTTGGAAATTAGATGAATGTTAGACCGAATTGATGCGTAGCGTGAGGTTTCAAATTATTAATTTAGAGACTATCAATTCGGTCTAACATTCATCTAATTTCCAAACACAGTATGTTTATCTCCATTCTACCATAACCGATTTAACATCGAACTTCCTCGTCCTGCGGAAGACACTGCGTAATCCGGCATGGGACGAGAGGCGAATTGAACTCGTCTGTGAAGGGAGTGGTAGGTGCCGTTCGTATTTTTTGTAACATTGCAACATAAAAAATATTCTGTCCAAAGAAAACAAACAACTGATAATTCAATGCAATAATGTAACACCTAAGAGCTTGGTTTTTATAATCATAACTCCACACGACCGAAACGAGACTATTGTTTTGTGTGCCGTGTTACTGTGCTCCCCTGGCCACACTAAAATGGAATCGTCTGACCTACTTATTTTCTTGGCAGTAAACAGTTACGCAACAGTTTGAAATGGCGGACGAGCCAGTGTTTACATTTTGCGAAAGGTTGAAATTCGAAGTGACAGTGGAAAATACTTGACTGACTGTCGAACCTGAACCCTGCAGAATCGAAGAATACATCCTTTTCTGATCGACCTATGACCTGTAACTCATCAAAGATTGTTGATTGTTATGACCGGCGATTGTCCATCATGATTTCACGTATGTCCCTCCAACCCGGCATGCGAGGAAAGAGTGACAGTGCTGCTTTGTGTACATGCGACTAACCTGGGATTCCTTGGAACATTGTTTAGGACTGGATTGTTTAGGACTGGATTTTGGCCAAGCTTTTCAAAGTGTACGAACATAGCAGTGACAGCCGTGCGGGGAAGGTGGCAGAGAGGGAATTCTCGTGGTTTAATTTTTTGACATTTTGAACGATGCAAAGGGACATGATGGAGTATGAGTGGCATACAATTTTTGTTTCGCCTGACCGTTATCTTGCGAATTTCCCATTCTAAACGGAAACAAATATACCATTTACCAGGTAGTTAAATGTTTACGAACGTTTTGCCGCACAAATAGGGATAGATAGGGGCGTATTTTCACAAGGTTTTCTGATTTATATGTTAGATATTGTTTGTTCATGTTTGGAGCTGTGTATTGTAATTGAATTTGAATATTTGTATAATAGAAGATAATAATTATGATAGTGAGGTTCCCTAATAATTGTGGAGGAGAAATCGTATAATTGTATTTTTCGAGTTTTAATAAATGTTTCATCAGCATTTCCATCACGT